GGGTGACAGCACAGGGCCAGGGCCCAGGGCAGAGCCACAATCCACTCCCCGCACATCCCTACAATGGGCGCTGGTTCTATGGTCAGGGACATGCAGGGAGCAGATCATGGCTCTGCCCTGGGCCCTGGCACTGTCACTGTCCCATGATTCAAGCCGTGGCCCCGGCCCCCACCTATCCATCCCCTTCCCAGATATTGTTCCCCTGTGGCCTCATCCCATCTGCCTGGCCAAGCACAGCCTGCCCATGGTTGTTCCAGGCAGGTCTCCATGGAGATCCCACCCACCTGCTTCGTCCAGTACCCCCAGTGGTGGGTGCGGGACAGACTGGCAGCAGCAGCAGCTGGGCAGAGCAAGTCACTGCCATGAGGGCTGCCAGGAAGTCGAGCCTGGCTGTGGGCCAGATGGAATCCCTTGCTGGGCTGGGCTGGACCCAACCCGCAGGCTGTATTTTGCCCATCCCTGGGCTAGGGGCAATGATCTCTGTTCAGAGGCAAGGTTTCAACACAGCTGCACTCAGAGGGGACACTGTAGTCCCTGATTTACTCTGCCACAGGGGGATGCAATATAAACTCCATTTTGCAGTGGTGCAGGCAAAGATCATCACCCCTTTTTGTTGACAAAAAAATCAGGATCTTTTTTCACTAGGTCAGGGGCCCCTGTTCTATGCAGGCTCCCACATACCCCCTGCTAGCTGCTCATAGTGGAGAGATGGAGCCAGCAGAACTTGAGGAGAAAGCCAAACTAGAGGTACTGGCAGGCATGTTGGCAACATCCCTGTTCTTCCCTGTTTCTTCCTCTGTTTCCCAGAGCAATCCCTCCCAAATGAAAAGAGGATCCCTGAATGCCTGTGCAAGCAGAACATTGGATATCTTCATGATCTCTGTTGGCTCCCTAGCTGTTGCCCTTGATCTCAAGGGATCAATAGAAGGGGCAGTCCTTAGAGCTCCCACGTGTACTCTGGAGCCCTGACCAGTCCTCCTCCACTGCTTGACCTTCATCCTGCCCCTTGGGGGAGCCTGACAGACTCTGCCCAGGCAGCAATGGTATGATGGGCCTGAATGAACTGATGTAATTCTGTTACTCACCAGCCACCACTGCAGAACATCTGGGGAGATCTCTTGGGTTTGCACAGTCAGCACAGGATTGATAGCTGCATCATAGTGTTCATTAAACCAGGCCGAACTGTTGAGATCTGCAACACAGCTGGCACAGCTACAAAGCTTGGCCTTGAAGAGGGAGACAGGCCCCGATGACTCCACAAAAGTACACAACGAGGCAAAGTGTCCTGTACACCTGCCCTGGAAAGTCTTCCATAGGAGAAACACCAGGCATAGAGCTGCTGTTGCCCACAGCTTCTTCCTGAGCAACATTCTTCATGCCATCAGTCCTTGCAATAGGACTCTCACAGGAGGAGCACTACACATGAAGGAAAAGCACCACATACAATACCAACGTGTTTGTGAGAGGATTTCCTATGATTAGTGGGATTTTTCCTCCAGTAGCTATAGACACAGAGTGGGAGGAAGGGGTCAGCCCATCAGCCCTCAAACACAGGTTTTCATCAGGGATCCCACGTCATCAGCAGCCTTACATCGGTACCAACCAGCAAGCTGCAGGGATGGGCCACTTCTCCCTGGCTTTGTCTTTACAGAATGGTGACACCCAGCATGTGCAGAGTGCCCAGTTCATGTAACAGCACTCGAGGAAATGTTACTGGAGGAAGCACTTCTCAGGAGAATCTGGCATCACATTGGGACATACCTAAATCACAAGACAAAGGGTTTTTTGCAGCCCACTCGGTGCGGATTTTGCAGGCATTTCACGACAGCCCTGCCTTTGGCACTGATTGGTAGAGAGGCCCTGTGAGGCGGCCTGCCCCTTGGTGCTGATTGGTGGAGAGGCTGGGGGGGGGAAGGAAATGGATGAGGGGGTGGCCACCATGTTGATTGCTGGCTGCCCTTTGTGCCATCCTGCCTTTCAGCCACGTTGGGGGGGCCAAGGGAGCAGCCGCCATCTAGTCTGCTGCCCTTCATGCCACCGCGCCAGCCAGCACCTTCACCTCCCAGCAGTGCGGGCCACTGGCTCCCACTGGGAAGTGAGCATTTTTTTTTAAGGTTTTGCAGATTTTGCAGATGTCATGGACAAGCCCAGATTTCATGGTTTCTGTGAAATCATAGTTTCATGGTAGGGTCGGAAGGGACCTATTAGATCATCGAGTCTGACCCCCTGCCATGGGCAGGAATGAGTGCTGGGGTCAGATGACCCTAGCCAGGAGTTTGTCCAATCTCCTTTTAAATACCTCCAAGGAAGGGGACAGCACCACCTCCCTTGGCCTCATGCAATCAGCAAAAATCACAAATGAAGTAGGTCCCTAGACGTCAGTAGGTGGGCAGAATCAAGAAGAGGCTTTGAGTGTCCAAAAAAAAAGACTGAAAGAGAAAGGGCTTCAAGGCAGTCGCATCAAGGACAGATGTAACTTTCACTGACACTAGCCTAGATATTGCAGCACTGAGGCTGCAGATTTTCAAAATTTGGAGGCAAAAGTTAGGTACCTGTATCCGTTTCAAGCTTCTAAGGATGTAGGCAAGTGAGGTAGAGGCGAAGGCTTCTGACAATCCTCCCCCTCTCCCTGTGAGAGACTTACAAACCATCTGAATCAGTTCTTGCTTGTATCTCAGGATAGATCATTGCTGTGTGACACAGTGAGCTGAGTAAGAGTCTGAGTTTCCTGGCTTTCAGTTCTTTTTTTTCCCTCTTTTCTTTTGCAGCTAAAATTATCTACTTCTTGATGCCTGAAGGATTTGGATCTGAAGGACCTGACAGAAAGTAGCAACCACTGAAAACGTTACACTTGCTAATCTCAGGTCAGGGTGCAAATGAGAGAGAAGCCAGTAGTAAACATCAGAGCTAGCATGTTGCTAGGGTGCATGTTGTGACACAACTTTGCAGCCAACATAAGCTCTTTCTTTGCAAAATTAAACTCAAGGGTTGCCTTTGCTACATACACTCCAGAAGCAGCAGTGCTGGGCGGCACCTGTTCATGGAGAGGCTGATTTTAAAGTCTCTATCACTGTGGGAAATTACTAATGATCATACTGAGCTCCATGCAGCAAAACATCCCTCCTGTGCCTGCTGCCACCCCAAGACTTCTAGGGCAGTTGTGAGAAAGTGACTGACTGCAGCGCTGGCTCAAACTAACTGTGCTCTAAATCATGGTGAAACCAGGGCTCTAATGTGCCTAGCACCATCACTATGGTGGCCATGAAGGGAACAAGGTACACAAGACAAAACACAGGGAGCTCCAGCTGAGATGTGTTCAAGCCATTCTTGCCTGCTGTAGCAATATTAAGGTACATTGAAAAGGCATAGCTAGATAGTCAGAAAGTGACAACAGACGCAACTAAAGATGTTGATACCTAGGACATGGCCCTGGGGTTGGGAGAGGGCTTGTTTCTAGGTAAACTTTAGAGCCCAAAGAACTTGCTGTGAGCTCTTCAACCCAATCAGAGAATCTGGGGCAATGAAGGCTCTGCTTCCCCAGCTACAGCTGGATGGGCCATGTGCTTATGTGAAGCCCAAGCAACCTTTGCTCCTATGCAGAGCAACATAGGCGACGCATAGGGGAGGCACCTGAGATTGGCCCTCGCCAGCCGGGGAGTGAGGGGCGACAGCCAGTGCTGCCCTCTCTCCCCCCGCCCGAGAATGTGGGGGCGCCAAGAGAAGCGTCGGCGGCACTTCCAGGTTTGTTGCTGGTACTTCCGCCAGTGGCAGCAATTGGCCACTATGGGGGGACACCCCCTGGTCAGCGATCAGTGCCACCCCAGGATCAGGAGGCACCAGTTGCCCATGCAAAGCAATCCTCCTCCTCTGTGTCAGCAGAGTAGCAGTGTAGGGCTGTTGCCCTGATGACAGGTAGAAAGTTTAAAGGGACAAAGAGCCAACATGTTTGGAGGCTCATCATCAAGAAAAGCAGATTCTCAGCCCAAGCAAGCAGCAGTACTCCCTGTCTTCACTCCTGGGCCCTCTGAAGTACCAGTGCTGTGCACAAGGGGAAGGATCAGCCTCAGAAGTCCCCACAAACCCAAGGACAGGCACCTTGCTGATAGCTTTGCTCTGATGGTTCAAAGGTGAGCACAGATCCAGAGCCTGCACTACATCTGCACACTCACCTGCAGGGAGAGCACCTGACACTGGAGCACACAGGAGTGGACAGCTGAGCTTCCTAGCTCCTTGGAGCCTGCAGGGGCTCAGCGTGCATCTCACGCTTGCCTGCACTCTGCTGCTTCCTGCTCTGGCTGCAGTCATGGTATATACTCTGAACAGGAAGCAGCTAAGCAAAAGCAAAGGGGAACTCAACAGCCCAGCAGCAACCACATCAGCACTGACCTCAGAAAGGAAGCTGCCTGAGGTGCTGTGTGCAAATGGAACTGACTTGACAACACCCTCCTTCCCCTGCCTGCTCAGCATAGGTTAATGGAGCAGGAAATAGGCCCTGGCACTGACACAGGCAGGGCTCAGGAAGAGGCTGTGGTTGGCAGGTCAACCTCTGAGTGAGCAGCTTCTGATGCCCACAACTTCTTTGGCAATACACTGAGTAGACCTGGTTTCTCCTCACTCTCTGGGAGACAGTAGCAAGACATGGTTGATATGCTCTGCAGAGCAGCACACCTTGCCTCTGTAGCTACACCCCTGGGCCCTACAGCTCCAGCAGCACTATGCAGCAGGGTTTCCCTGCACATCACTCAGGACCCTCAGCATAGGGGGTTCAGGAA